CATTACTTAGCGGGTCATGCTAGCGCTGCTACATCCGGTTTACTTCCTCCTCACTGACCAATCAATGACAAGTTCCGAATCAGGAAAAACGTCGTTACCTTTACAGTTTTCAGAATAAAAGCTCCTAAAAAATTTTATTAATTAAAATTGATTACTTTTTTTGATCACAACACCCGTTTTAAAGTTTCACATTTAATTTAGTTAATTGGGAAATATAATCTAAAGACAAGCTTGAATAAGTACAGTTTAGGCAACGGAATATGAAGTTTTCTAGTTACCTAAACTGAACTTTTTCAAGCTTGACAATGATCTGGATGACTGAGAATCTTCACAGATATAATCTAAAGACCAACTAACAAGAAGAATCAAATTCAGTTCAAAAACAGCTTTCAAAAATGTTTATTACAGAGATTTTGTTAATATTTCACAATATTAATATTTAGTACAACATATTTCTATATCGGTAACACACATTAAACAAGCAAAGAGCTTAGTGGAAAATGTTTATGCACTTAGCAGAAAGCATCATAAACTCTGGTTGAAATGGCTGTAATTCAAATATTTCAAAGCTTCTTTACAAAATAATACAGTTACATGTAACATTGCTAGTTTTTTGAAAACTGAAAAGATTAAAAGCACAGCGGATTATTTTATATAATAAAAAATTTATAGAGGAATGTCCTACTGCTTAACTTTTACTATTTAAAGATACCTGTAAAAGAGAATTAATGGAAAAAAAACTCATCTTGCATCATCATGCAAAGTAAAACATATCCGCTTTGGGGGAAATTTAAAATTCAAAAGTTCTAAATCTGTCAGTTGCAAGATAAAACATGGCAGATGAAACAGCTTAAATGAATAGTACACCCAAAACATGATTAGCCTTCATTTTCTACTCACCCCCGATGCTGAACAACACTCTGGAGTACTTTTTTGATATCTCAAATGCATCTGGAGATCTGGGAGGCTTCTTGCTGTCTGCTGACATTCAAATAATGGAGGTCTATGGTGACCGAGACAGAAAGGTCCATAAAAGTCCACAAAAAACGTGTCAATATTCCTCCATACTGCTCGTCCAATGTATTCCAAGTGTCCTGAGTGGGTAGCATCCAGAATTTACTCGAAACGAAGTAATTTAGAATGTTTTTAGAGCATAAACAGTAGTGTATAGGATTTCCTGAAAGCGCGCACATGCGCGCTCACGACGCTACGGAAGCCGGCAGACCAAACCAGCGCATTCAGCTCGGCAAAGAACTCATGCTCTTCCTCAACACTGAAGTCCTCAGACATTTTTCTTTCGTTGTTTCTTTCTTTGCACAGGTAAACAGCACATTTCTTCTTCTACGCTTGCATTATTGGCAGAGCAGACGCTGAATGCGCACTTTCATCTGGTTTGGTCTGCCGGCTTCCGTAGCGTCGTGAGCGCGCATGTGCACGCTTTCAGGAAATCCTATACACTACTGTTTATGCTCTAAAAACATTCTAAATGACTTCGTTTCGAGTAAATTCTGGATGCTACCCACTCAGGACACTTGGAATACATTGGACGAGCAGTATGGAGGAATATTGACACGTTTTTGTGGACTTTTATGGACCTTTCTGTCTCGGTCACCATAGACCTCCATTATTTGAATGTCAGCAGACAGCAAGAAGCCTCCCAGATCTCCAGATGCATTTGAGATATCAAAAAAGTACTCCAGAGTGTTGTTCAGCATGGGGGTGAGTAGAAAATGAAGGCTAATCATGTTTTGGGTGTACTATTCCTTTAATCTGTTTTACAAGGGTGCCTCCCAGGCCCAGGACACGCCGGAGGGAGTCTCTGAGCTGGCCTGGTGTCGCCTTCAGGTCCCCCCAGAGCAGCTGGAGGAGGCGTGTGCATTGGGAAGTCTGGGCATCTGCTTAGACTGCTGCCTCTGCGACCTGGCCCCAGATAAAGCGGAAGAAAATGGCTGGATGGATGGAAACAGCCAGTTTGCCCCATTTGGAATCACACAGAGGGTATGTAGCAGGCAGGGCAGACTTGGGCATAAAAATACAATAAAACGTGTCAATCAACAGAATACCATAGCCATAATAGGAGTTTAGAGAGAAAACAGATAAAGCAAAATAAAGACCCTCTTTGTGCCTTTTTGCTGCATTTTCCTTTTCATCAAACAGAACCACTTAACTATGGGTATATATATCAAGAGGTGTCAATAGTAGTGCATACTTTGAGAATCTGCTCACCGTTTGTGTAGCAGAAGCATATCTAGAGGCACTGCAATAAGTGTGACATGGAAAAAAATTGCATCAGAGAATAAAAAGTTGGACACAACCAGCGAGATCTGTGCTCACAACCATTAAGCTTTTTAAGCAGAACCCCTCTAAAAATCTTTACACATTGGCTTTTAACTCAACTGGGGCATGATAGTGTTTTCTTTTACCCTCTTTTATAAGGAAATATGTTTTACAGCTCCGTTGTATTTTTTGTTTATTTATTCTATGTACGTTGTATGCTTCGCTTTATTAAGCAACTATAACATTTTCTGGTAAAAAACAAACAAAAAAAACCCAGCAAAAACACCAACGGCAGTTAATTTTCACATACATGATTTTGCCGTTTGCTTTTGCCCTTAAATGTGTTCAGAGCTTTGAGAGATTTCAGTTTAACTGGTTTAGTATTAGAGATCTGTTGCCTTTTAAAAAAATCAACATTTCTGAAAGATTTTCTGCATCGAGCTGGACATTTCTGAATCGTACATTGAGCAATGTCAGGAGCAATGCCGTTAACGAATTAAAAAAACTAATGCCACAAATGAATTATTGAACAAATATTCAGAACTTTTGCTTTTCTTTAATTTTTCCAGTGGTGCTACCTGATTGGCTTTTAGCAAAGTACTTGTAAAGCTTGTTTGTAAAAAGAGTTCAAACCATATATGGTGGACTGATTCACATGAAAAACTAGGCTGTATTAATTGGTAAGTGATATAGACATATATATTCAAATTAGTCCTTATAGTCTTAAAATTGTTTTCTTTATATGACCTTTACATAAACGATTGAATCACCCCACAGAGAAAACTCTACCCCTTAATTTAAATGGGAGAAAAATAAATGAAAACAGCCTGAAAGAAAAACTGAACAAAAAAATAAATAAAGCCCATGAAATATTTTAAATTGCTTCAATAAATAAGAGTTTCTCAAAATAAAAAAATATATATTTCGATATAAGTGTATCTGAAAATAAATCTTGATTAAATTTGAGGTAAGTAAACTGAAAACAAAATATTGTAACATACACATTGTTTCATGAGGATATTTATTTATTTGCTGGAATATTCATTGACACTGGTATTGATTTATAACATTTATAATGAAATGGTTCTCCATAATAAATGGCTACTGCAACGTTTAAAATGTGTGAACTTAATGTAGGTATTTAACTGCACAAGCCTGCCGCATTAATAAAGCTTAGGGCTGCAACTAACGATTATTTTGAAAATCGATGAATCGGCCGATTATTTTTTCGATTAATCGATGAATTGGACACAAAATATTTTTTTTATATTAACCTCTTTATTCCAAAATAAACATTTTAGACAGAACAAACAAGCACACAAGTACAGGTTTCTCATTAACTGTACTGGTGCAATATGAAAAATAAATGTACATCCACAAAATATAGGGTACTTTGTTTCATAAAGCGCAAAAAGAGACAGGCATTTTTGT